GTTTGTTCCACTGAGCAATTCAAAGGAATTTTGCCATCCTTTCATCAGTAGATCTGTGAGTCAAGCTGGATAGAATCAGAAAGATTCACTGAAGATTATGTTATTGATCACCAAATCATCTTTGCAAAAATAAAAACCCAGAATTGAAGTTTTCAAGCAGTCAGTTGACTGATACTTAAATGGCATTTAGTACAGTTGCAGTCTCTTAAGTATGCAAAATGTCATCTCAAACCCAAATCAGTTTTGTGGTATGAGCAAGAGATTATTAAATGGATGAAAAATTGTGGTTGAAAATATGGATTTAAAGCTCCAATGCTGAGTACTATGCTATTTCTAAATGATAGCTTGATATTGTACAATAGGGAAAGAAACAGCCATTAATAACTGAAAGCAATACAAATATATGCATCAAATAAAAAATTTAAATCAGGCAAATAATGCAACACTTAGCTCTTCAGCTGTTTTTCTGTAATATGAAAGTTTTTTTTAAAAAAGTTTCCTAATATGTTGGATTTTTGGTTTGTTTTACATGTTTCCTGATCCAGATTTATATTTTTGAAAATAATATCTACTATCAACCTGATATAAAAAGCAGTTCATTACGACTGACATCTTCTGGAAAAGAAGGAATTATTTTTAATGGCATTGCTGACTGGTTATATGAAGGTGAGTTGAGTAGATTTAGAGTTTCAAAAGAATACAAATGACATATTTTTATACAAAATCTATAAGAAAAATCTGTTCATTCCAGAACAATACTTATAGCACTCTTTCTTCTCATTTCCTCTCAAAATTGCCTTCCTGTTTCATATCTTTGCGTGTGCTGATATTCTGACTGATTGTGGTTTACATCTACTTACATGACTCCACATTTGGTATATATATATATATATATATATGTATGTATATACAGGCATTTTGTTCAAGCTAGTTAGATTTTATTTTTGGTAATGTTTAACAAATGAAAGTGAATGATCACCTTAGATCATTTTTTTATTAGATGCTGAATTTTTATGACTGTGGAAAAGAAGAAACACTAACCTTTACTGTTCAAAAAGTAAATGAAAGCCACTAGATTTTAGTGATCCCCATTAAGAACATTCTATCACACTTTAAAAGCCAATGCATAGGGAACCAAATAAAACCTAGCAAGTTATTTGCAGTAACTATTGAATCAAGTGTTTTTGTAATTGCTCAGAATATAAAAAGAAATCAGGTGCTGAAAACCTCTATTCAATTTGATGATGTACATATTATCAGCTGAGTTTTGGATACAGATGTCCTAGGGAATACTCATAGCTTGAGTTGCATACCTACATTTCAGACTCTGCAACTGATCCTGGCAAAATACATCAAGATTTAAATTAAGTTCGTCTATCTGACTAGAAATTATAGCTAAGAATGATCCAGAAAAGAAAAATGTATTTCTTGAGCAATATTGGCAAATGCAGTCTTTCTACCTCAGAGTTCATGTTTTTAATTCTCTAAGAAAGGCAAATCGCTTTGCTCATTCATTCATTCATTCTCTCACTCAACAGATGTGATTACAGTTACTACTGTGTTTCAAATACTTGTCTCTAGGTGTTGAGATATATTAAGGAAGAAAATGAAGTTCTGTGCTCAGGACCTTACATTAAGAGAAAAACTTTCCTGGGCAGAGCTCTTTTGTTATTAAAGAGACTGTGTAGTCACTAGATTTGCGTGTATTTTTGTACATGTATATTTATATCTATAATATATTTTTGTGTATATACCAGCATCAAATAATGAAAGATTTTAGAGACCACAGTTTATTCTGAGGAGTAGTAAGAGATAATGTGGAAAATATCAGCATATGATATGACATATTCTATGAAATTTTGAAAGTTAAAATACACAAGTAGATAAGTAGGGTCCTTTGGTTAAGACTGTCAGAGCTGACTCTGGTTTTCTCATTTCAAAAAGATAAATTATTGGAGGGACCTGAGATGGCCCAATGAATTGAAGAAAAAGGTGGAAAACAAACTTGAAAGCTGGGTAGTTCTAAGAATCTAGGTAGCAGGAGCTAACCGTCTCTTACCTAGAGAAGCTAGGTAAGATACGTCTTATATCTTCAAAATATTTCTGGTACTGTGTGAGACCCTGACAGATGAAGAAACCCTGTCCATGCAGTGTGGCAAATCATCAGATCACAGGAAACCCAGGATAGAACAATGGAGTGAGATAGCCCATTCTAAGGATTTGCAAATATTTTCCTAAAGGAGAAACCCTCTAATTTTTTTTTAAGTCTGGAAGATTAAGAAATGCAACCTAAGAAGAAACTAGGAGGGAAAATTCAAGCAAGAGTTAAGAGGTTGCAAAAACATAGAAGGGTTAAATAACATGGTGTGTGCCTAGGGAACTAAAATTTACTTGGTATTATTGAGGCATAAAATTTGAGAAAAATAAATGCAGCAAGAATCAAGGGATAGTGACCTTAAAAATAATCTGGGATTGCAAGATTATTTTTTTTCTAGTAAATGGAGAAACTAATAGAGATTTTCAAGTAGGGAGTGTCAAGATTAGATTTTCTATATAAGTAGATTATTTTGGCTATAGGGCAATGCCGGGATCAAACAGCAGACCAAACCAGTAAGCAGCTATAAGGCTTTTGCTATGTCCCATCAAGAGATAATGAGAAATAGGACTAGGGTTAAAGCTGTAAAGAGGCAAGATTCTGAAATTGATGGGGCAGGAAAATCGATAGATCTTAGTGGTTAAATGAATGGAGCAGTTGAGAAGTCAAGTGATCCTTTGGCCCCTGGTTTGGGTCACTAGTGAGTGGTGGTGGTAAAAATGTGAACAGGCATTCATAAGGAGTACAGGACTTCAGGGAGGAGAAGGATCATTGTTGGAAACAGTGGTGCTTCACAGTGTGCTGGCGTGCTACAGTGGGTGAGCAAATGTGATGTTTAACATCAAAGAATGTTTAAGTCAACGAGGAGTATATTCAATGTAAAATGTGTTGAGCACTTATTAAGATGACAAGAGTCATCTCCTTGTCCGTTAGGTGATACTGCATATAGCTTACTGCATTACATTTTTTAAGGAAATTGTACCGAAAATGAAGATCATTGCCTGACAAGTAAGGTTATTTTCTTAATTGGATAATAAAAATCTATATATCTGGCTAGAGAATGAGCTGTGTCCTGGGGGACAGGCAGGACAACCAGGTAGCAAAACCTTTTGTGATGACACTATAAACTGGCACTTCCTAAAGGACATGGAAAAATTATAGCTTTTGCCATTCAGTTTAAACTCAATCCTTTGGGCTCTTGTATTGTAGCTATACTAGGAATTATAGATGCGCTATGTGATTTAATCCTCACAGTGCTGTACATCTGATCATTTACTGAATAAACCAAGACTCAAGGAGGAGAGGTGACTTGAACATGGCCTCAGAGCTCATGAGGGACAGAGCTGGCTGTTGAATGTGTGTTTTCAAAGCCAGTACCTAGTCCTAATCTACCCTATGTGTTACAGTACAGTGCCCTTCACTGTTCCCTTCGGGATGACATGCATCATGGAGCCATTAGATTTCACTGGTTTTCTCATCCAAAGATTCTGAGCCCTCCCTGTCCATGGATTTACCTCAGTTCTTGCTTCACCAATGGAATCAATGTTACAGTCTGGCAGAGGGATTTAGGCAATTAAGATGCCATTGATTTTTCCCTCAGCATTTTGCCTGCCACCCCCAACCTGTGTTTCCATAGTCTCACATGTACCCTAATTTTCCATCTGGCCCAGCTCCCAGATTCCAGGCCTTCCCTTCCCTTTAGCATACCCACCAAAACACAGTGATGTCAGCCATGAATGCATATGATCTCCAACAGTATGTGTGTGATATTCTAGTGTGATTTCCTTTTTTATTACTTTAAAGAAATCAGTTACAATGTGAATTAGTATATGTGGGAGACTCAAGTAATAGGTAACATTTCTACTTTTTGTTCATTGAAATTTGCTTTCTGTAAATGTCATAGAAAAAAAGATTAGGAGAGCAAGTCACATGGAAATATAATAAAATGTTTTTATGTGAAATTTTAAGAGCATGGCTTAATCTTTTCTGGACCAGGCCAATCTGTGTGCACATTTGTTGCTGTTAAACACAGTCACTAATGTCTAGTCTTTAAAAATCTTTAAAAATGTCATCCTAAATCTTTGTCTCTATTTCAGTATTATTCAGTTCATAAAGAAAGTAAAAGCAAGTAAAAGACAATGTTTTTTAAGAAGTTGAAGTTCAGAAGAAAAGTAAAACATCATGCTCAAAAAGAAACATCATTTTAAATATAATTTACACAAAACACATATAATGTTATTCATATAAATTGGTGTATTTAACTTGGTAACAACTAAATAAAGCACCAGATCAGTGGTTTGTTAAAAAAAAAAAGTGAAGTTCACACTTGCCAAGTTTACAGCTATGAAAATGTCTATAAATTATTGAATCTATTAAATAGAAGAACAAATGGCTAACATTTCCATTATTTGAGCATATAGAATAATGCAACTAATATGCCCAAATGATTTATTAATATATTTTTAAGGAGTTCTTTGAAATTCAATCCCACAGTTATTGAGCACATGTATCTGTCAGCCATTATCTGAGAGCAATGCAATTGGGAATAAGCATTTCTATGTTTTGGGTATTTCCAACTCAGTAGAGTGAAAAACTGTAAACAACTATTATATAAGGAAACATTTGGAGCATGGTAAATAGAAATACAAATAGAACTACATGTCAGCATACTAAATAGAAGTATAAATATAACTAATTCTGGAGAATGGTCTTTGCATTGAGCTTTAAGAATGACAATAAAGAAGTGATAGAAAACATTTACAAGATAAACATCCTTATCAACAAATTGATAGTGTTACTTTCTTGCTGTTAAAAGAGAACAATGCAAAATGCCTAGTTTCACTTTACTCTTTGCCTTCTCTCTTTATTTTTTTTATTAAGTATCATTGATGTACAGTCTTATGAAGGTTTCACATGAGCAACATTGTGGTTACTACATTCACTCATATTATCAAGTCTCCCCCACATACCCCATTACAGTCACTATCCTTCAGTGTGGTAAGATACTGTAGAGTCACTGCTTGTCTTCTCTGTACTATTCTGCCTTCCCCATGACCCCCTACATTATGTGTGCTAATCATAATGCCCTTTAATCCCCTTCTCCCTTCCTTACCACCTGCCCTCCCCACCCCCTTTCTCTTTGGTAACTGCTAGACTCTTCTTGGAGTCTGTGAGTCTGCTGCTGTCTTTTTCCTTCAGTTTTTGCTTTGTTGTTATCTCTACAAATGAGTGAAATCATCTGGTACTTGTCTTTCCCCGCCTGGCTTATTTCACTGAGCATAATATCCTCCAGCTCTATCCATGTTGTGGCAAATATTAAGATTTGTTTTTGTCTTAAGACTTTTTGTCTTCTCTTGAATAGAGAAAGTCACATTCATCCCTTCATTGATTCAACAAATATTTATTGAGCACTTACTAAATCCTAGTAAAACTGGACTGTGACAGATAAAAGAAAATAATTAGAGATATAGCCATGGAAACCAGACGAAGATAAGCTCATCAACAATGCTGAGTCATTGGAGGTCAAGCAAGCTAAGGATTCCAAAGTAACTCTTGGATTTGCTACAGAAAT